GCACTCTCTCCTATCCAGGACCCCTCAGGGGATGTCGGACTGCCTCTCCCAACCCAGGACCGCTGGCTCCTAACCGCTCGCCTGCTTGCCTGCCTGATCGCCCCTAACGGCCTCTGCCTCGCCCTGCACCCGGAACCCAGGATTCCCTCCTCTGGCCGGTTGCAGGCACCTGGGAAACGGGCTTCCCTCCCTCTGGCTTGCTGCAGGCACCCAGGACCTGGGCCGGCCACAGCCACAGGGGACCGTGGGCGGGCGGCTTTGCCTGAGCCGCAGGTGCAGGTACAACCACTGGCGCCCAGGACCGCGGGGCAGGCAGGTTGTCCCTCTCCTGGGCTGCAGGCGCAGTCACTGGCACCTGGGACCAGGGAGCAGGCGGCTTGTCCCTCTCCCAGGCCGCAGCCTGGCTGGTTCCCATTCCTCTCTCGTGAGCTCATTTGTGCCTGGCTGGTCCCCATTCCTCTCTCCTTAGTGTTGAGTGTCTGAGCCATTATGGTGTGATGATGTGACAACCATTTGCATACTAGCTCTTTATTATATAGAATAGACTTGCTGAACAGACTAAAACATAAAAAAAGATTTTTCTAATCAAGCTAAGTGGACAAATAAATATCACTGTTTAGTCCTCATGTGGCAAACTACACACTCCAAAAAAATCCAAAATCCTCATTCCTTGTGTTCATGTGTATGCGTGTGTACACACACACACACACACACACACACACACAGTTCTGTTGTTCTAGTTTCAGCATTTTATGTGACTTTAAGGTAAAAGAGTCTTTAATAAAACGGGTAATACAAAACTTCTATACATGACCCTATATTAGAAAAGGAATACACTCAATTTTAGATTAATACTGCCTATTTTAGTAGAGAAAGGAGTCAACTTTTAGAACAAAACAAATGCTACGAAAAAGCTTTTAAGGACTCCCTGGGAAAAGCCCATGAAAGGAAAGAAACAAAAGAACATTACAACTTTATTTAACTAAGATTTTTCTCTAAGTTGTTAGGTAGCTATAAAAAAGGAGGGATATGATTGGTATCCTATATAATAAAAGGCTAATATGCAAATCAACCGAATGGCAGAACGACCAGTCGCTATGATGCACAATGACCACCAGGGGGCAGATGCTCAATGCAGGAGCTGCCCCTGGTGGTCTGTGTTCCCACAGGGGGAGCGCCACTCAGCCAGAAGCCAGGATCACTGCTGGAGAGCACAGCGTTGGTGGTGGGAGCCTCTCCTACCTCTGCAGCAGCGCTAAGCATGTCTGACTCCCGGCTTATGTCTTCTCCCCATGGGGAGCAGGCCAAAGCCATCAGTCAGACATCCCCCGAGGGCGCCTGAATTGTGAAAGGGCGAAGGCCAGGCTAAGGGACCCCTGTCCCCGAGTGCACGAATTTTGTGCACTGGACCTCTAGTTTGGTATAATATTTTAAATTTTCTGACATGCTAAAATACATAAATTCATTTACAGTGAAAACTTCTTTTTATTTTTTATTTTTTTCACTATCTTGGATACTTCATATAAGTGGAATCATGCAGAATTTGCACTGCAACTGGCTTCTTTCTTTCTTTTTTCTTTTTCTTAAATGTATATGTATTGATTACAGAGAAGAAAGGAGAGAGATGGAAACATCAATTAGAGAGAATCATTGATCGGCTACCTCCTGCATGCCCCCCACTGGGGATCAAGCCCTCAACCTAGGCATGTGCCCTTGACCAGCATCGAACCTGGGACCCATCAGTCCATAGACAGATGCTCTATCCACTGAACCAAACCGGCTAGGGCTACAGTGAAAACTTTTCATGGAGCTAACCAATAAAAAACTTATATAGATCTTTGTGATGGAGGACTATTATCTTCAACATAATTGTATAAAAAATTCAGAATGGCCCTAGCTGGTTTGGCTCAGTGGATAGAGCATCAGCCTGCAGACTTAAGGGTCCCGGGTTCGATTCCAGTCAAGGGCATGTACTTGGTTGCGGGCACAACCCCAGTGGGGAGTGTGCAGGAGGCAGCTGATCAATGTTTTTCTCTCACTGATGTTTCTAACTCTCTATTCCTCTCCTTCCTCTCTGTAAAAAATCAATAAAATATATTTTTTTAAAAAATTCATAATGGTTTGAATATTCAAATACTATAAAAGTTAAGGACATAATATTAAATTTTAACTCAATGAAGGCCAGTTCAAGTAAATTAAACTGTTCTACACACATAGTTACTATTTTAAAATGTTGTGTCATTCTTCTAAGGATTTGGCTTTTTAATATCCAAACATTAAATTGTACTTAAATTTTAATTTTTAAGCACAACATTGTTTTGAAGAGAGTCCAATTTTTTTAAAGGTAGAATGGACTACACCAAACCCTGACCTCTTATCAAAATTCAATTCCTCAAACATCAATTTACTCACCTAAAATTGAATCAAAATGCAAGAGGTGGTAAATACTGATGTATTAAAACATATTTTAAGTATATATATAATATAAATTAAGTACTTTTTAAATCCAGAGTTTAATGTTGGTTTGTGACAACATGTAATTAATAAAAAGTATAATCACCACTATTTCTCAAAATATGAATGACACAACCATTAGTTTTTACTCTGAACTTTGATCAAAACAATGAAATTACAATATGTGATTTATTAAAACGAGAAAAATATCATATTTTTGCTTCTCTCAACAGTTTATATTTTTCACAGTTATCTAACTAGAAATTTCTTATCCATCTAGTAATTAACGAGAAAAGCTACCGCTAACATTTTACACAAAATTTTAATTTTGCTTTATAGAATACATTCTAACAGGATATACACTACAATTGCCTATTTTTTTAAAAAATATTTTATTGATTTTTTACAGAGAGGAAGGGAGAGGGATAGTTAGAAACATTGATGAGAGAGAAACATCAATCGGCTGCCTTCTGCACACCCCCAACTGGGGATGTGCCCGCAACTAAGGTACATGGCCTTGACCGTAATCGAACCTGGGACCTTTCAGATCGCAGGCTGACGCTCTATCCACGGAGCCAAACCGGTTAGGGCTACAACTGCCTATTATTAAAATAAACAAAGTCACAATTACCTGCAAAAAGATCTTCTGTGTCATCCTCTAGCACAACTTCTGCAGGTTTTGGACCATTGGAGTTTGTACTAACATCTTCTGTAAGAAGACTAATTGGTTCTGGAGAAGATGGAATTGACTGTGAAAAAAAGAAAAAACAACAACCAGTAATACATAATGGATTGGCATGTTTATCTGTTATAATTATGTCTCTATACATTACAGAACTAGGACACTCCCTTGATAGAAAGGGGAGCAAGAACAAGCACAGTTATTTATAGTTCCTCCTCTGAGGGTAAGAACTCATCTTCTCTTTTTCTAATAAAAAGTCACTTAAAATTGAAAAAAGAAAATCTTTTCTAGTTACCCCTTTTGAGATACAAATTTTTCATGTTGTGTTATAATTAACAAAAACAAAATTTAATGCTTTGGTCATATATAATAAAATTGATTAGTATATAAATAGTCAAAACCAAATCTTGAAAACATGTTACAATTGTAAGAAGTTCAAAATGCTGCTTTATTATAAGAGGAAGATTTCATACTAGTTGAATTAAGATTACTATTAGTCTAAAATTATGTCCTCTCCCCAAACATTTAAATTATAATTCAGCTAAGGGACTATTTCTGTACTTCTTAACCTTAAAGTATAATGACCAATATAATGGAATCTAGATTGTAAAGCTTTCAGCTTTATTATCCTCCTATCTAATAAAAGAGAAACATGGTAATTAGCCGTACGGCCGCTACCCTTCCCATTGGCTAATCAGTGAGATATGCAAATTAACTGCCAGCCAAGATGGCGGCCGGCAGCCAGGCAGCTTGAAGCGAACAGGGAGGCTTGCTTGCTTCAGTGACGGAGGAAGCCAAGCTTCCCCGCCTGCGCTGCTGGCCTCTGAGCTTGCAGTTTGAAACATTTTAACAAATATAGAAGCTAAACAAAACCCCAGAAACCGGCTTTAGTAAGGCAGGCTGCAGCAAGCAAGACTGCAACATTGTTTCGAACACAGAAGGTAAACAAAGGCCAGAAATGTGCTTTCAGCAGCCGAGCCTCAGAGAGAAAGCTGGCTCTCAGCTCCAGTGACAGGCATAGAAGGTAAATAAATGCCAGAATAAAAAAAAAAAGAAAGGAGAGGTTTGGAGCTTTAGTCGCCCACCAGCCTGAAAACAGCCCTCAGCCCCTCACCCAGACTGGCCAGGCACCCCAGTGGGGACCCCCACCCTGAAGCAGCAAGATGGCGGCTAATTTGCATACTGAAGGCAGGCGGCAGCAGGCAAGGCTGTCTGCGGTCTGGGACCCGGATCTGTGACCCTGCC